TGAAACTGATAGTTAGATGTGCACCAATGCTTAAAAGAATGATTCTGAAGTTATCATGCGAGTCCTCCGAAAGTAATGATGTGTGCACAAAGATATCCAAATTCTTCAGGACGTTTTCTTCTTTGGATTGTTGTGCTCATCATAGCTCCGGTGAGGTATATGTTTGGCATGAATGATTAGCATGCTCTCCTAGATGAAACAAAGATATAATTGTTGTTCTTTGTAAGATTTGTCGAAAATTTGGTATTGACACGCCAACCATAAAGTTTGGTTGTTTATGTATCCCATTTATTAGCTGAATGAACATGCTATATTTCTATTGAATATTTGTGAGAATACCCTCATAGTTCTTTAAATTAAATATATAGAAGCTGAATAGTGCAGTGGGTGATAAGAAATTTTCAATGTTTTTTATGCAGGCATGCTTTTGCGTTTTGCAATCTTGTCTAATATGCACACCCTTATGTTTCACATCTGTAAGATTCTCTAAGTTAGCTGCATAGATATGTGATTTTAACTGGAAATATTAATTTGTGCCAAACCCCAAGGTGTTGCTCCTGGGTCTAGAAAGGCATCTCTCTCTTTTGGACGACATGAATAACACAGTTGTCATCGTCTCATTTCAAAGAAACATCACAAATCAGGGTGGAGACTTGTGTGAGATCTTACATTAGGTGAGATCAATGAGATCGTTTTTTTTTAAGATCTTCATGTTCAAACATTCTCAAAAAAGTTTTGGCGTCATATCGTTTTTTTTAAGATGGAATGCCGATCCAAACATGGGGAGCTGAAGCCAGGTTATGGTTGTAACAGTATATGTAAATGTTATGGTTGTAACAGTATCAACCCAGTATAAATGCTTTCTACAAACTGCCATCCTTGTTAGCACTTATTGCAGGAGAAACGGAGTAATAACTTCAATAAATTTTGAAATAACTTCAATAAAGTTTGAAATCTTACACCCGTCTATCTGTCTGTTCAGTAGCCTTGATACAAATTCTGATCGAAAATATTGTTTGAACCGCCTGCGAGGTGACAAAAGAACAGCCTTGCCTTGTCGAGAAATATTTTTGAGAGAAAATCTGTGTTCCCTTTTCGAAAAAAAAAGTTTACATTTTATTCTGCTGTCAGTAACTATGTGACATACATTATCGGTGAACATTGTCACCGAGAAGCTAGCTTGCATACATTTTTTCTTTTGCATATGATAGATCCATAACACCATTGGTTTACGTAGCTGCAGCCACATTAAAAATTGCCATTTTGTGTGTGTGGATAACAGAAACACAGCTTAGCTCCCCAATTTCATCGCAAATTCATTGCAATAAAATGCAGGTTTAGTTTACACTTTACAGCAACATCATTGGAGGTTGGGTTTTCAGCTCTGAGAAACAAATCGTATATTGCTCAGTGATAATTACAGCTTATATACAGATTGCCTTCAAGAACCAGAGCCACGACTGTTGTCTTTGACCATAGGAAAAAAAATTCCAACTCTGATTGAATGGAACCCCCTGATCCCCTCCCCCGCCGCCCCCGCGGGCGACCTAGCCAACGCCGCCGGTCTTCAGCTCCTCCCTCGCCGCCGCCAGAGGGCGGGGCCGGGAAAAGCCCGGTCGCCGCTGGCGGCAGCGGGGCTCCTTCGTCGCTGCGTTCGGGGGGCTGGCGCGGGCTGGCGGTCTCGGACCTGGTAGTGGCGCTCCTGTAGGGCGTCGCCGCATGGCATTGCGCCGGCACTGGTGATAGCGCTGGTGCGGCGTCGGCGCGACGGGCTAAGCAGCGGTGGTGCATAGCCCCCGGGGTGGCGGCGGTCGTCCAGATCCGCATCGTGGTTGGAGCGAGCTGACAGCGGTCTGGGCTACGGGAGGCCACCTTCGCCGTGGCGTTCTATTGGTAGAGGTGGCGGCGCAGCGGTGGTGGAGTCGGTGGGGCGAGCCTGGGCCGCCTGGACGGCGGCGGCGCGGCCTACGGTGCGGCCGATCCGGGGCCAGGCGTCGCGGGCAGAGGGCGGCCACCTTTTCCATGGCCTTCCTGGCTGGCAGAGGTGGGTTTTTGCAGCGTGCTGGAGGTCGGAGATGGCGGCTGCGGAGTGGCTAGATCCAGCTTCGCAGTTGTGCGAGCCATGGGCGGCTAGGGCTGCGGTCGGCTGCCTTGACCAGCGCCTTCTTGGTTGGTTGGGTAGGCGGCATGGTGGCAGAGGTTTGGCCACCCCTTCTTCGGATTTCTGCGTGCTCGAAGCAGTGGTTGGAGGTGCGTCCTGCGGGTGGAGCGCGGCAGTTCTGTGTTTCTCGCCTCTGGCTGGCCTCGGTGCCTGGGGCGCTCCGAGGAGTTGGCAGGGGTGCCTCCGAGTCTTGCTATTGCCAGGAGTGGCGACGACGACCTGGCCTAGGGATTGAGAATTGGTACGGCGGTTGTTGCATGAACGGCAGCTGACGGTGGCCTCCCCCTTCCCTACTCCGTCCGGCGGGGCCCCGCACTTACCAAAAGAGCTTGCTTTTCCGATGACAGCGTCAGTGGACCATGTTGAGGGGATTGCAGTGGTCTTGGATGCCAGGGCGGCGGCTCTGGTGGTGGGAGTACAGGTCTCGTGGGATGAGCTTGTTGCTCAGGTGCTGTCGGGTGGCCATGGCCGTGTGGGCGGTGTGGCGACCGGGGTGTGACATTTGACGGTGGTGGTGTGGCTTATGTACCTATGCCTGGGGCGATGTGTGTGGCCAGAGTAAAAATCTGTTCTGCCACCAGGGCAGGTCGGCGGCAGCGATGTGCGTGCCCTTCTTGAAGGCGTCACTACGGCCCTCATTGCCCGTCGTGTTGCTCCAGGGGAAACTCTGATCCTCGGATCAGGCGGTGGTGGCGCACTAGTGTCGTACCCTTCCTGAAGGTACCGCTTTGGAGCTCACGGTTCGTCGTGTGCGGCTTCTTCTCTTTGGAGTGGTGTGTTCATGGTTGAAAACTCCGGTAGCTCTTGTAGTGGTAGGGTTGGTGTTGTTGCTCTCAACGCCATTGTATTCGTCTTGGGTGTGTGCGTGTGCTGATGTAGGATGAGTTTGTATCGAGATGTTGTTGGTCGTTGCTTTATATATAAAGCGGGGCAAAAGCCTGTTCTGTGATGAAACCTCCTGCAGCGCTCTAGCGGTTGCTTACACTTGCTGCAATGTAGATCTGTTAAATGCTACTTGCGAGCCTGCGAGAAGGGCGCTGCTGCGGCATGGAAATTCCAGTAACACTGGCATTGCTATGTCTGGAGAATGTGTGGGCATTGTTAGTTACCCAGTTGATGGGGCAGAAGAGTCTTCTCTCCCAACTCCAGCATGCTATTTTTGTTGTCCACAGCTTTGTACTACTAGTGGCAAGTGGCTGCCCCTGTCAGAAACTGTCTTCTTGGCCATGGATGCAAATTCAGTAAAGTTTGAAATATACAATCCCTTATTTATTTATTATTAATGTTCAATGCAAATTCCAGCCGAAAAAAAAATGTTTGAACCACTCGGCCTAGTTCTTGGACGGGAGAGGTGAAATATACAATCCTTTATTTATTTATTATTATTAATGTTAAATGCCGTCTTCGATCCTAGGCAGGAACAAAATTCTAACTCCCTGTCGTGTTCTAGTGGTTGCAATCTAGTTCTGTCGAATGCCGCTAGTTAAGTTTGAAATATATAGTTGATTGTTTATTTCTTACTCAAATTCCGATGGAAATAAATGCCTGAACCACTCGGCCGATTCCCGGTGATGGGGAAGGTGAGAAAATGAGCGCCTTTGTTTCTTTTTGGAGAAGCAGATGTTCTTTTCATTTTCTGAAGAAAGGGGAAGTTTCCATCAATATCACTGAGAAGCGAACTTACATACGGTCTGACCTCAAGACAACAAATAAAGACAACCAAAATATTCGATAACAGGAGGACAGCTAAGCTCCCCGATTTTATCACGAGTTCATCAAATACAGTCTTTAGTTTACAGCAACATAATTCCAGATTGGGTTTCCAGCCCCATGCATACGGCGAATGCTCTCATGAACAAAGTTGTACTGCTCAGTAATGATTACAGCTTACATAGATTACAAGTTCCAACGCTAGTACACACACTGAAAGCAACCTGTGTACGTGCAGACATACTGAAGCTTGTCTAACAATGCCTAAGAAAGTAGGCAGGCAACATAAAATATCAATAGCTGATGAGCAGAATGCTCATTTCAACATAGGCCTAGCTGGAGTAATGTGCAGACTCCAAATGCGTAATTCTTTTTCTTTGCAGCTAAGAAATATCTGCTGCCACCTGTCTTGCGTGCCAGTCCTCGATATTGACTAGTAACAGGAATGGCCTAGAATTTCATTGACCAACAGATGTAACAACTAACAAGTGCAACACCTCACGGGCTGCCCAGCTTTCAAATTCTTCTCACCCCATCCGAGCTTAGATATGGGAGGACAGTCGTCAGACCAGCATCCTCCTCCCCTCCCGAGCAACACAGAATCTAATGACAATCACAAATTGAGGCAGTCAGTCAGCAAGTAAGGGGAGTGAATGAACCTTTGTATCTTTGTCAATGCCAGTAGTCAATAGCACAGTCCACTCGGCCTCTAATGTAGGACAAGTACGTAATCACGCATCCATTTTCTTTGACAGACTTTAAATGAAAGAGGAACTAGAAGTTATATTGACAGAAAACAAATAGAACTCGGACTTTGACATATACTAAATACAACATAGTAACAGTGAACTAGAAGCCGACTCAGACTTGAACCCATATATTAGTATAAGGAATAGACAAACCGCATGATCAGTTACTTTGCATGGGCAATATAGTTGCATACTTCTAGTCTACGTGAACAAGATACACATAAGCATGGAGAAAGGAATCACATTTGCTTTGTACACAAACCCAATAATACATTTCCATCAGCCATTATTATAGCCACCAGTTGCTAATTTAATTCTACCAATATATATTATATGCATGAAAGATGAAACAGCGAACACTGACCTGGGAGCAGCGACAATCACCTAATCCATTCCCAAACTCCTTTGAGTTCAACTGCAACATTCCTAACGTGGCTAATCTTCATTAAATCTTCACTGGATTCATCCGAATCTCTGTTCTGACGGAGCTTTTCTATCAGCTCTTCGGACATGTCTTTCACACCTAATATCTCAAGGGCTGCAAGGTGTTCGATGCCATCAGGAAGAAACTTTAGCTCGGGACAGTCTACGAACAATAGCTCAACGAGGTTTTGCATTGCACCCTTCTCTATTACCACTTGCTTGAGCTGTGCCGCGCCCCCTATCCATAGATGCCTAAGTTTTGGAAATGACCCTGCGTAAAAATCCAACCTCTTCCCTTCAAAAGCCTTCTTTAGGTAAAGAAAGCGTAGACCATGTAACAAGCACAGACAGGAAAAGGTGTCCTCATCAATATTGGAGAATGTCAGATGCAACCTAGTGAGGCTATTAAGATGTGACCAAGAAGAGAAAAGTTGAGGCATCGTTGTTTTTTCTAGCTGCCCTCCTAAAGTAAGCACGGAAAGGGTTGGAGGTAAATATAGCCCTTCCAGCTGCAGCACCTCATTCTCAGCTGCAGCGGCAATTCCGAGATGAGCAAGATGCCTCATTTTGGTGATAGCATTTCTCATATCAGCAGAGTGTTCACTTCTCACATCACAGACATCGAATGTCCTTAGCTCTGTTAGAGCCACAACTTCACGCAGAAACTCTGGAGTGGCTTTGACGGACTGAAGAGCCCGCAGTCCTACCAATTGCTTCATGCCACTAGGCACCTTGACCCCAGCTATTCCTAATGTGCCGAAAGTACACGCATACAAGTAACTTAACTTCTGAAGTTTTACAACACTCTTTGGCAAGTACGTCAGTTTAGAATCATAAGCATCCATGATTACCAGGTTTTGTAACCTCCCCACTGCTTCAGGCAAGTTTTCGATCTCGGTATCTCTAATGCCCAAATAACGCAGATTAAACAAGTTGAATACTTCATTGGGCAATATTTTGATACCAGTGCCTTGCAGATCCAATGTCGACAACAAATTAGAAGATGTTAGGATAGGCTTCAGCAAATCAACATTGATATACTTCTTAAATACATGGAGCGCACGAAGCTGTGTTGCACCAGATAGGCACAGTTGTTCAAGGTTTTCGCCCTGGACCGATATGCGACGTGCACCCTCTACAGAGAACGCCCTAGTACCAGAGCCATCATAAACTTTACCAAAGTGTTCCTCCTTGGCTTTGTTAAGGGCAAGAAGGCGTATGACATCATGCATCTTGCAGTATTTCAGTCGTCCGGCATAATTCCTTTGCACTACCTGCAGTAGGCTTCGGTTCACAAGCTCAGCCAAGTATCCCTCTCCCACCTCCTCCAATGTTTTGCTCTCTTCCTTTACCCTGATAAACCCTGCCGCGATCCAATGCCTGATTATTCTTCTCCTCTTTAATTCATAATCTTCTGGGGATAGTGCACAGTGTAAGAAACAATTCTTCAAATCATATGGAAGGTCCTCCAAGCTAACCTTTAGGATCATATGAGCATCAGGGATCACATCCTTCCCCAACTGTGAATCCAAACACATGTACACATCCTCCCATTCAGTGGAATTTTGGGGTTTGCAGGAGAGTAGGCGCCCAATGCACGCAATAGCAATAGGCAAGCCTTGACACTTTGCTATGAACTTCCAAGCCAATTCCTGCAGCTCTAACGGGCACTTTTTGTCATCATCATTCCAAAATGCCCCTTTACAGAACAACACCCAGGAGTGATGTGCTTGTAGTGGTTCCAAGTGAATTGCATATGCAGACTCCCTTGTTGCCAACACCGTCTGCTTTCTTGATGTCATAACAACTCGGCCGGTACAGTTAGATGTTGGGAAGACACCCCTTATCTCTGACCACAAGCGCTCAGCCCAAACATCATCCAGGACCAAGATGTACTTTTTACCTTGAAGGTAGTTGTGGATGGACTTTGCTAGGTCTCTCGTCTCAATGTTGGCGGTGTCGATTGCGATGCCGAACTGGGCGGCGATCTTCTTGAGCAGGTCCTCAATATGGTAACTTTCTGACACAGTTACCCATGCCGCGGCATTGAAATCCAGTTTCACGGTGTTGTACACATGATCAACCAGAGTGGTTTTACCAACACCAGGCATCCCCCACACCATGGTGACTTTGCTGTTGTTGTGCTCCAGACCTTCATGACAGTCGTGCAACCATCGTAACAAACTCTCCTTGTTCTCCTCGATCCCCACAAGGTCCTCATCTCTGGTGAAGTGTAGAGCTTGACCTTGACTCGTTGATTTGGCAGCAGGAGAAGATCGGATGGCATAATACTTCTTCCTTCGATTTGCATCTTCCAGCTTGGCTTCAATTTCTTGGAACTTTGCCGCCAGGCGGTACCAGGTCTTGATATGCTTGAGCCGCTTCCTGGTCTTGCCGGCGAACCCTCCGTGCCTGCAGTCTTCTAGCTTGTAGGTGAACTCATCGACGACGTCCTCCATCTGGAAGGCGAGGCTCCTGATCTCGCCGACGAAGATGCTGGTGGTCCTGTCGGTGTCCTTGAACCGCTCTGCCTCATGCAAGTAGGCCTGCATGCTCTCCAGCTCCGCCTTGGACGCGCGGATCTTGCCGAAGACGTCCCTAAGGGCGGCGGCTTCTTTGGCGACCAACGACCAGCCAAAGGACGCCGCCTCTGTCGCCAGCGCTGCCCCGAGCGTCACCACCACTAGCCCAACAACAGCCTCCGCCATGGTTCTTAGGCTTTTGGTGAGTATAAACTGGTTGTTTTTGAGCGCACAATATGGTGGTAGCTCTGAGGAGTAAACTGGTTGTGTGAGCGCTGCCTCTAATGTCGTTGTAGCTAAGGCTTTACTTACTCGACTCTGAGCTCACGAATTTTCGAGTCCACAATCTGGCCATTGAATAATCAGCGTGAATGGAAGCCACAATTTGGTCTTTTGAAGAATCAACATGCATGCCAGACCACGGTTTGGTCATCCACAGTTTTGTGGCTGTTGAGGCTTTGAGCTCAGTCCACTCTTTTCTTATCCTCTTCCTCTTCCAGGTTGAGGCTTTGAGCTTATAATTATTTCTTTTTATACTCTTCCAGGTTTTTTTTTGCCCATCTAAAAAAAACTTATTTATCCTGTTCCAAATTGATACAACAAAGCGTGCAATTTCAGAGGCTCGGGTGAAAGAAGAAGTTATTACCACCAAAGTGTGCCGCAAACGACACCCCTTGTTGCTGGCTCCCTGCAACCATTGATCCAAGAAGTGAAGCTAAAATATGAAATGCATTGAACCCTCCAACCACGGAATAGCTGAAATGTGAAAAGCATTGAATCCACCAAGTTGATCCACGTACCTCACGTCCGCCTACTCCCAAAGGCAGGCAGCAAGCATGTGCAGGTCACCCCAACCCAGCAGCAGCAACCACAGTCGGCCGGGGGCCGGAGCTGGCCCCTCGCCGTGCCCGATTCCTCTCAGAATCCAAGGTCAAGAGGTACATTCATCGAGGGCTTAGAGTTTTTATTTTTTTTCCACTGTCACAGTTTCTGATTTAGTTTGTTAAATTGAAATAAGCGAAGCTCCGATTTAGATGCATTGATGACTTCATGGATCACATTCACCTTTTTAGAATGAGTGTGGTTTTCTGTAGCTCAGGCTACACGGTACCCCTTATCTTTGCCATCTATTTATGCATCAAGATCCGTGCAGACACATTTGTCTTTTTTGTTTCTCTCAAACGACACAACATATGAACTTTAACTTTTGCAGAACAACAATACATTCTAACTACAATCTAGGAAAAAAACTTTCATATTTTTTCATGCATTTTAAATACTTGAAATAATATTTTTATTCAAAGAAAATCTCATTTTGTATATTTATATCAGACCAAAAAATCTGAAAGTTTTTTCACACATTGATGTTCTAATGTTTGTTCGATCTGCAAAGTTTGAAGTTCATATGTTGTTTCGTTTTCGAGAAACAAAAAAGAGAAATCTTCTTGTTGTTAGTTAGTTGGAGAGTACGGATCTCAAAGCAAGGTTGGAGGGTTGAGGATAAGAGGTTTCATGTAGCCTGAGCTACAAAGAAACTTTGTGTTTTAGAATTCAGTGAGGACTGACTGAACTGCAGAGAAACACGGGAGTGCACATAAACAGATTATTGTGTTGTACTACTACTACACAGGTTTATTGGCAACTTTGGGGACAAGTAGCCCTTGAAATGCAAGTCAAACCCAATTGCAAATCGCCTACCTTGCAGACAATGAGTAGCCCGATTATACGGATGTATAGATGCAAACACAGCATTCTGTTTGTTAAATTATGATCTAAATTCTAGTATCGTATTGGACTAGACATAGTACATACGGTGTGGGCCTTTGCGTTGGTACCGACGCGTACGAGTACAACTCGTTTACTTGTCCTCCAAGGACTCTCATGTATTGCCCTCTTATATACCCCGTAGTCGCACCTCAGACGGTCTGTCGTCTCGTGCTTGTAATACTCCTCCATCATAGTGATCGCGCCTTCGTGCGTCCGTGGTTTTCTCCCGCTAAGGTTTCCACGTAAAAATCCGTATCTATTTGTCTCGTTTATTTTTCGTTATTATCTAACAAGTGGTATACAGAGCCAAGTTCGCAGATACAAATTTGAGACGAGAGATTAGAGTTCTGTCCGTGCGCCGCCGGCACGTGACCAGGCGATCCGGAGCCGGATCGATTTCTACAGCCGCCGAGACCTCCGCTGCTGTGCCGCTGTACAAAGCCGTGCGCTTGTCCGATCCGCCGAGCCGTGCGTCTCAGCAAGTGCACGCTTCAAGTCGCCGAACCAAGGCGATCATTGCTGCTCCACGTCTACGTACAGGATCAAGTCCCGAGGCCTATCCGCCGAGTCGCTGCAACTCCACGTGAACGCCGAATCAAGCAAGTCGATTGCTACTACTATTAGTACTTTTACTAGTAGTGCTACTCCTGTTCATCACGTGAAGCCAAGATCAGATTTTGTTCCCTATTGCTACATGCACACGCTACCAGGTGCTATTTACTCTGATTGTTTGACCGCAAATTAATTCTGTCCAGAATTTTTTCCTACCGGCTTGTACTACTTTATACACAGATTTATCTACTAATGGCATTCATGAAGTACGATTTTCCGCTGCTGGACCGTGACACAAGGTTTACCCTATGGCAAGTCAAGATGCGGGCGTTGTTGGCACAGTCCGATTATGATGAAGCACTGGATAGTTTTGGGAAGAATAGAATTCAGGACTGGACTGACGAGGAGAAAAGAATTGATTGTAAGGCTTTGTCACAAATTCAACTCCATTTGCATAATAATATTTTGCAGGAAGTTTTGAGCGAGAAAACTGCCACCGCTCTATGGTTAAAGCTGGAAGGGATTTGCATGACTAAAGATCTCACCAGCAAGATGCATCTGAAGCAAAAAATTATTCCTGCACAGGTTACCCGAGGGAGGTAATGTTTTGAATCATATTTCAGAATTTAAAGAGATCATATCCGATCTAGCTGCAATGGAGGTTAAGTATGAAGAGGAAGATACTGCTTTAATGTTACTTTGTTCACTGCCAAGTTCTTATACCAATTTTAGAGACACCATATTATACAGTCGTGATACTCTCACACTTAATGAAGTTTATGAAGCTTCGAACTCTAAGGAGAAGATGAAATTAATGGTGCCTCATGATGGTTCGAGTTCATCCCAAGCCGAGGGATTATCTGTTCGTGGCAGGACAAAGAAGAAGAACTCCAATAATGGAAACAGAGGCAAAAGTACAAACGGCTACAGGGGCCGGTCGTAATCCAGAGACAAGAAGTATTGCAGGTATTGCAAGAGAGACGGGCATGACATCTTAGAGTGTTTCAAGTTGCAGAACAAGGAAAAGAGGAAAGGTAACAAACAAGGTGAAAATTCTGCTAACGTTGCTCGTGATGATAGTTCCGATGATGCTCTTGTCGTTATTGCTGGATGTGCTGAGACCAATGATGAGTGGGTACTTGACACTGCATGCACTTTTCATACGTATCCGAGATCGGTCTTTTGGTTGCATTGGCTAGAGCATGCACTTCTACATGGTACCGCTATGCATGATGAGATGGAATCACTTGAAAAGAATGGCACTTGGGATTTAGTAAAATTGCCGAGAGAGAAGAAACCTATTCGTTGCAAGTTGGTTTTCAAGAGGAAAGAAGGTGTTTCTCCTAATGATAAGACATGATATAAAGCAAGGTTAGTTGCTAAAGGTTATAGCCAGATTCCAGGTATTGACTATAACGAAGTCTTTTCTCCTGTTGTGAAGCATAGCTCTATTCGCACTTTACTTAGTATTGTTGCCATGCATGATTTTGAGCTTGAACAATTGGATGTTAAAACTGCATTCTTACATGGAGAGTTAGAAGAGAATATTTATATGGAACAACCTGAAGGTTTTGTTATTCCTGGAAAAGAAAAGCTTGTCTGTAAGTTAAAGAAATCTCTTTATGGATTGAAGCAATTCCCTAGACAGTGGTACAAGAGATTTGACACCTTTATGCTCTCTCAAGGTTTCAAAAGGTCTAATTATGATAGTCGTGTTTATTTGAAAACTGTCAAAGGTTCAACTATTTATTTGCTTCTTTATGTTGATGATATGCTTATTGCTGCAAAGAGTATGTCAGATATTAATGAACTAAAGAAGCAATTGAGTAATGAATTTGAGATGAAGGATTTGGGTGCAGCAAAGAAAATACTTGGCATGGAAATATCCAGAGATAGACCGTCTGGAAGAGTGTATCTAAGTCAGAAGGGATATATTGATAAAGTTCTTCATCGATTTAATATGCATAATGCCAAGCCGGTGAGTACACCGTTAGCTGCACACTTCAAATTGTCATCAGCTATATGTCCTAAGTCAGATTTCGATATTGAGTACATGTCTAGAGTTCCCTATTGAAGTGCAGTTGGTTCACTTATGTATGCCATGGTTTGTTCTCGTCCGGATTTATCATATGCGTTGAGTGTTGTCAGTAGATACATGGCTAATCCTGGAAAAGAGCATTGGAGAGCAGTTCAGTGGATTTTCAGATACCTGCGTGGTACTTCTAATGCTTATTTACAGTTTGGGAAAACTAGAGATGGACTTGTTGGTTTTGTTGATTTTGATTTTGCTGGTGATTTGGATAAGAGAAGATCGCTCACAGGTTATGTTTTCACCATTGGTGGTTGTGCTGTGAGTTGGAGAGCAACTTTGCAGTCTATTGTGGCTTGTTCCACTACTGATGCCGAGTATATGGCTATTTCTGAGGCATGCAAAGAAACTATCTGGTTGAAAGGTTTATACACTGAGCTTTGTGGAGATTCATCTTGCCCTACCGTATTTAGTGACAGTCAAAGTGCCATATATCTTACAAAGAATCCAATGTATCATGAGAGGACAAAGCACATTGATGTCAGATATCACTATATTCGAGATGTTGTTGCTGAAGGTGATTTGAAGGTATGCAAGATAAGTACTCATGATAATCCTGCTGATATGATGACAAAGCCAATTCCAACCAATAAGTTTGAGCTTTGCTCAGGCTTAATTGGTATTTCTCATTAGTCCTATGGACTTTGACGCACAAGGTGTTTATGCTGATTTGGATGGAGTTATTCAATTTCTTCGACTACTGGAGGAAATTTGGATCAAGGTGGAGATTGTTAAATTATGATCTAAATTCTAGTACCGTATTGGACTAGACGTAGTA